CTACAAGACTTTTTATACATACAAGCATTAGTTTTGATATGTGATTAATGATATTTGTTTAAGAATTTTTTGAAAATTCTTTAACACTTAAAATACTAAATATACTTTTACCATCAGCATGTTTAATATTGATCTGAAAATCTATTGCTAGGAACAACACTGAATCATGGAATGGATGGAATTCAGAACATTCCCAAGGGTTGCTACTTACTCAAAATATTGTTGCCTTTTTCATGGTGCTATATATTGGTAAGTTCTACTTGGTTATTTGTTTATCGTCAACTAAATACTTGCATGTATGCCTTTATTTCCAACAGTAGAGATCATCTTTAAATCTCAAAATACCAAAACTTACCACCACCGTATGTAGCATTTGAAAACCAATGCAGTGTGTTAGCAAGCAAATTTGCTGGCTATTCTATGAAATAGATATTGGATATAGTTCATATCACAAAGTCTACTATATATGTAACGTTATTGATGCACTGGTCTATCGATAGTCAATGTCGGCGCCACAGTCAAAGTACTGGACACTTGTCTGAAAGTAGTACCGGGTATTTTATCGTTGAAACCGTAGTAGGCTTGTGTTTTGATGTTGATAATTTCTATATATTTATTGATCTATGTGATTTGTTCCAATTTAATGAGTAATTCCGAGTTATGTGTTTTATAGATGTTATACATAATTATTCCACTAGTTTGTATAGAAATCAATCGAAAACTTTCTATCATTCCTTTCTGGCTGATATTTCATCGTTAGTTTATAGTACGTAGTCACCGATTGGTTAACCACCATCTGCGTGGAAAATGCCGTAATGTTCCATTCCCTTGTTTTAAAGTTTAACAGTAGTTCTGTTCTTGTTTAGTCTGTGCTCAAGTGCGTGAATCAGTTATTTCATCTGTTTTTACAACCTTTATGTTTTATAACATTCTACAAGTCTCTATAACTACCAGAAGTTTTTACTATGTACACCAAGTAAATCATAATGTTGATCACCCTATGAAATAGAACAAAGCAAACACAAAAGATATGGCTGTCTATCACACACATTCGATCAGATCCAAAAAAACTGTGAGCACTATGATTGTGTAATGGTAACACAAGTAAGAGACTATGGTAGTTGTTTATTTCGGAAGGGAAGTCTGGCATCAAAGTACAATTAGAACAATCCACACTAAACATGGACTAAAACACCCTTTATATAGGGTTAATAGGATTACATCGCGAATTTTAAAAGTGGAGGGAAACATTATGATTGGTATGCCACGTGAGAAGGTCACTAGAATAAACATTTCGACTTAATCCGCTACAAAGTTGCGACTTCTCTTGCGTTCGCTGTGATAAAGGCATGTTTGTGAACATTACGTAAATGGCTTACAATAAATTGATTTGTGCTTCTTTGTCATAGGAATACATGTATTGTGAGATGAAATGAAGCATGAAATGGCTTCTAACAGACATAACTCAGAGAATAATGCTTGAAATCGAATGAAACGAAAACGAACAAATACAGAAAATGATTGTCTATCGATACAAACTAAATACGAATGAAAAATAATAACTATAATTAAACAACAACAAATATAATTGAATTGAGAAACACACACGTGGATAAGCATCCACGATAAAAGTTTTATGCAAAGTTGCGAGCTATCTTGGTAACTGACTGTCCATATAATTCTAAGAATGGTTGTAATGTGAACTATTACCCCCAAATATAGGTGCACAGTGCATAGGTTAGAGAGCCATTTAAAGCAGGTAGGCTCCTCCTGAAAAATGTCTGCAACATCTCAGTGTTTTCAATTTAATTAGTGTTATCCAACTTGCTTCTCTCAAAATTACCTGTATACCTTCCACAATGGTTGCATTTAGTATCTACATACAGTGAGTACTAAGGTGACAAAGTGTTGACGAAAAACAAAATTATTTTGCATAACTTTATCACAAATAAGAGCCCTTGTTATCCCAAAATGTCTCTCTAATGTTGGGGTCTGAAGCTCATGTAATCTCTGATCTATAGGAAATTTTCACCAAAAGCTGTAAAACTGTTCCAATATTAGAATTGTCAACATTATGTTAGGTAACTGCAACAGTGAAATAACAAAGATATCTTGTTTCAATACAGCATTTACATCTATCTGCTATGTACATCCCTTGAAGTCACTATGGAGACAGCATCCGTTCAACAACGGCTTATGGTGTATAATGATACCAGTCGTCTTAGTGCTACAAATCATGTACTTTTGCTTTGATATGATTATATGGGACTCAACGCAACTACATTACGAATTCAGTCTGCTGGATGCGCCCTTAGAAGCATGGCTACTTGGAATCTTATGGCCGCTACTTCTTATTCCGATCTGTGAAATTGTCAAGTTATATGAAGTCAGGTACGCAAATTTATTCCATTCATTGTCTAAATTAATGATCATAATTTTTTTTTTTTTATTATGCATTAGCAGGACTTGAAAACATCCATGTACAATGCCTGGGACCACTGAAAAAAGAAACAAATTAAATCTTGTATTACATGTATGTCCGTGCTCTTGACAGGCCAATCTGATTAAGATCTGATGTAGATGTAGGGTCTCTGGTTAGTTTTAATTGCCAATTTACGACCGGTGGTGTACATGCCTCAAACTATATCAGACCAACTACCTATGCAAATTACATTCAAAGTCTCTACTCTGTAGGGATTTGTCAACCATTTACAGAGCACCTTACAAAAACATGTTATGCCGTCCTAGTAAGTGTCTTGTAACACAGGTTCTAATTGGCTGCTGTTTATGCAAGCCTTTATTTGCATTGGTTGGTCAAATGTAGTTCAGTGCATATAGACTAAAGGCCAGTGATTGTATATTAAAAAAACGACCATAGCCTTTTCCTACATCAGATTGCTTACAGACCATTTACTAATTGAACACTGTAGTTTAGTACTTTAACTGGGTGCACCGGACCCTATTGTCTGTTTATTCTCCCATTGCATGATGGACATGGAAATTGTTTTACAAGTATCAAACATGATGCAGAACCAGTAGAAATTCTATGTGAAATGGCTGTGAAGGTTAAAAAAAAAACACTGATCAGAATAATTTGACTATTAATCACTCTGTCACTCATACCTAAGAACAGTCAACTCAAATAACACAAACACAGATCAAAATATAAACCCCGTACACTCACACACATTATGCAATTTAGTTTAAGACCTTGTGAAGGAGTGGTTTACAAGTCTCATTAGTCCCAGAATCAGTGCATTTTTTAAATATTTTTCAGGCCTGGCAATGGTCAGATACTTATTATGAAAATTGTAGTTGACCCTGTGTTTGTATTTTGAAAAAAATAATTCAAGCCACCTGTTGTATACCATAATATTTTACAAACGTATTTAAATGTATATTTTTTTTTATTTTACAGGTTGCATGTTCGCTACCAAAAACGTGCAAAGTTACAGTTTGGAACCAAACTAGGAATGAATTCTCCTTTTTAAAAGTAAAACAGCATTGAAGTTGAAATTGCATTCATCAAACCAATACCATAACAGAAACTCTGACATCTGTGCACTGCAATTGAATTTCCTTTTTTTATGTGTTTATCAGGACAACTTTTAATGGTATCTCCGATGCTGAGTTATGATTCATGGTTAAGAATTCAGTAAACCTTTTTATATCTTCTTTTTTTTTTAAATATTTTTTATTCAAATTGATTTTTGACTCCCATGTGCGAAGCACAAAAGGGAGTCTTTGCAGTTACCCTGTCTGTATGTCT